AGCTGGGGTGTGAGCACACACACACACATACCCAACCCTCCCCGGCTCTGCCCCCGGTTGGGGTGTGAGCATCCCACACACAATCAACCCTTCCTGGCTCTGCCCGTGGCTGGGGTGTGAGCATCCCACACACACCCAATCCTCCCCGGCTCTGCCTGTGGCTGGGGTGTGAGCATCCCACACACCCCTCCCCAGCTCTGCCCGCGACGGGTGTGAGCAAACACAAACACACAATCACCCTCCCCGGCTCTGCCTGCGGCTGGGGTGTGAGCATCCCACACACACGCAGCTCTCTCTGGCTGTGCCGGTGGCTGGGGTGTGAGCACCCCACATACACCCCCTCACACACACAACCCTTCCCAGCTCTGCCTGCGGCTGGGATGTGAGCACCACACACACACACACATACCCCTCCCCAGCTCTTCCTGCGTCTGGGGTATGAACACCCCACACACACACCCCGCTCCCCAGCTCTGTGCGGCTCGGGTGTGAGCGCACGCACACACACACACAGAGCCCTCCAAGTCTCTGTCCATGGCTGCGGTGTGAGCACACACACACACTCTTCCCGGGGCTCTGCCTGTACTGGGGCCGGTATATCCATCACCCGACACACACACTCCCCTCCTTAAGCTCTGCATGTCCTGGGGCGAGTATTCCCCCCACACACACATTTCTTCCTGGGCTCTGCCTGCCCTGGGGTGAATATACCCAACACCTCCCACCATGCTCCCCTCCCCGGGCTCTGCCTGCCCTGGGTCAGATATACCCTCCTAAGTTCCCTGTAACCTGCGCAGCTGCACAGCAGCCTATTTAGTGCTGCGCAAGCGCCCGGGGACCTGCCGCAGCCCCAAACCTGCCGTGGCCAGGGTGGCTCGGACGCAGGGGCAGTCTGGCCCGGCCCCAGGTGCGGCAGGGGAGGCCCTCCCTCAGCCCGGACCTGTTGGGGCCAGGGGAGGGACACCTATCCTGCAGCCCCAGAGCTACCGCCTCTCCCCATCAGCCCAGGTGCTGCTGTGGGGGGAGTCCTCTCTCCCTGCCGGAGCACCCTCCTGCACCTCAAAGCCCTCACCCCCTGCACCCAACTCCGTGCCCCAGCCCTGAGCCCTCATCCCTGGTCCCACCCCGGGACCCACACCCCCAGCTGGAGCTCTCACCCCCTGCACCCAACCCCCTGCCCCAGCCCTGACCCCTCATCCCTGGCCCCACCCCGGAACCCGCACCCCCAGCTGGAGCTCTCACCCCCTGCACCCAACCCTCTGCCTCAGCCCTGACCCCCTCCCGAAACCCTCGACCCCACGACAACCACATGAATTTTGTTTTGTGCACCAATATGAAGGTGATGTATTACACATCACTGCAATATTGGTGCACAATACAAAATTCATTCCACACACGGGTGGGAAAAATTAGAGGGAACGTGGGGTGGTGATCCCCACCACCCCACGCACACCCATTTACTCTCCCTGGGTTCTGCCTGCCCTAAGGGCCAGTATACCTAACTCCCCCAACACACACACACTTTGCCTGTCCTAGGCAGTGAGACCCAATTCCCCCCTCCATGTGCACATACTCCTCCCCAGGTCCTGCCTGCCCTGGGGTATGAGCACCCAAACCCCCACCCCCCAAATCCCTCCCCCCTCCCTGGGCTCTTCCTGCCCTGGGGCCAGAGTACCTAACTTGCCACATACACACACTCTGCTCGCCCTGGGGTATGAGCACCAACGCCCCCCACAGACACACTCTGCTTGCCCTGAGATGTGAAAACCCAACAACTCCCGCCCCCCACACACACACCCCTCCCCAAGTTTTGCCCGCCTGAGGTATGAGCACCCAACATACATGCACACATACTCCTCCATGAGCTCTGCGTGCCCTAGGCTGTGAGCACCCAGCCTTCCCCCCGCCCCTTCCTCACACACACCCCTCCCCAAGTTTTGCCCGCCTGAGGTATGAGC